TTGTACGTATGGGTAATTGCGTGCAGAGGTTTGGTGATGCTATGAGCCAACTCCTTGATTTGTGTACCCCTAAGACTCAATTAGGGGAGTCTACTCCTGTATCAAAACACAGATCTACATTCACACCAGCTATGAAACTGTAGCAAACTTGTGCAACAAAGCTAACAGAGACAATTTCAAACTTCAAAAACTAAATTGTTATTGATTGGATGCCCTGTCGATATGGATGCTCGGGTCCCGTCGCAACCTCTGTCCACCTTCTGAACGCTGCTGCATATGGGACTAGTTAGACATTCATAGAGTCAATAGGTATTGTGGTGTCTGTAGTATGACTGGAAAGTGTAAATATGGCGTTTCGTAACGAACAATATTCATACGAATGGGTCAGTGATTGTGACAAGCGAGGTTAGGACAAGTGAAGACCATTACTCCCCATCTCCGTTTTTTTGCCGTGTTTACTGTATTTTTACAGAAATAAGCATTTACTTTCACTTTTTACCCACAAGATGTAGGAACAAGACGTGGCTCGTTTCCCTTCCAGGAACATATAAATATTCTAAGCTGATAACTGTAGGAAACTAACAAGACTCATTTCTAATGTAAATCTCTCAACATCTTTACGCTCACCATACATATGAATAAGGATATTTGTATATCCATACCTTCTTTAACTTCATTTTATATACGTTCTACTTGTTTTGAACATCATCTATCAAGTCTTACAAGAAATAAGACTCAAAATAAACCTTTTCAAAACAGAAATAATGATCTTCAGATTGGATTGAAAATAGTAATAGCACATATCCTAAACCAATCATAAAAATACATGATAGAAAATTAGTAAATTCTAAACACTTCAAACGCCTCAATGTGATCTTCAAAGCAATATATGCATTCATACATACATATATATATATATATATATATATATATATATATATATATATATATATATATATATATATATATATATATATATATATATATATATATATATATATATATATATATATAGCACTGCTGATGAGTCCCAAAATAGGACGAAACGCCCGTCCAGTGCTTTCTACATTCTGTTGAGGATTCTTCTAGACTCGATGAATTACTATAATGATTTACTTAAATCCCCCAAATTCTATTACTTGTATATCCTTGCTTGACCCACCTAATGCTCTGTGATGGAGCGGTTCGGGGCAAAGGAAAGTCGTGGCTCTTGGGGCACAATACGTTGGGTTATGAATACTTGGATGAGTATCACCATGGAATTTGCGAGTAGCGGCGCTATGTCGAGCCCCCCCCTCGCTCTCTCTCTCTCTCTATATATATATATTCATCTACAGACAAACTGTTTCGCTGTATCACAGCTCCTCAACGTCCGATTGCTTCAAGCTGGATCGAAACCCGACTGAATTGACATCTTACCCCTAGGCCATCGTTGCACGGCAGAATGGAAGGGAATTTTATCGTGTTTTTTTTTTTATTTTATACGAAATACTCCAGCGGCTCGGAGAACTCAATTCATACTTGAAGAGTAATACTTAATAGCAGTAGGAGCCGCTGTTTTTAAAACTCCCTTTCCTAGTGAGCTCAGCCGGATTTCCAGGAGCATCTATAGTCAACCTCATACAGTTTTGCTGTATCATAGCTCGTCAGTGTGGCTAGATGTCCGATTGCTTCAAGCTGTGTTCGAAATCCGACTGATCACACACACACACATATATATAAAACTGTATATAAGATATTGTGGAAATGTTTGACAAAAGTTTTCGTAGGACTTCATCGGACTAAACTTGTTATGTTGATGAGTCTACACATACTAAATTTGTGATAACTGATCCATACAGCGAGATATATGAAGATTTTTTTCGTAAACTTCCCACAACGTGCCAAGGTAATGTTGCAACGTTGTCTACCTTCGATACATATTTTTAAGTGAAGGAAAAGTATTCTGATGCAATGATTTAACCAGAACGGAACGTTTCAGTGACAGTATTTCGCAATGTTAACATAACGTTGCGACAAGATTGGGTATGTGTAACAAACTGACACAAAACTCCCTGAGTCACAAATCTAGTCTTTCACCTCGTCGGCACCTCCTCTTTTGTTCACTGCCACTGGCCTTGTATGCGTTCGAAGGTAGATACAATAATCCATTGATTCTCAACCGCCGTGCCGCAGCACACCAGTGTGCCATACTATCCCGTCAAGTGTACCGCGAAATATTATCATTTCTAGTGATCGAAAAAACATTATAAAACATTCGACGGTACCCATTGATACATTCTGGATTTCAATACAAAAAGAATATTCCGCATTAGCTTTATCAAGCTTTATCAGTTTTATTGCATTTTTCTACTAATTTATGTCAGTTATGTTTTTCAACCCTAAATAACATGAAAAATAAGAAGCGAGAAAGACTATGATCAACATTCGATCAAACATTGAAAAAATCATGAAAAAACATTCGACGGATTTCACACATTTCACACTAAATAAGCTGCACAAATCGTTGAATAGAAACACTGGAATAAAGTAAGTTGATATTTGTGTGTGTACTAAAAAAAATAACTATGGTTTTATTTCATAACATTTAAGTGGATAACCCTTAAAAAAATTGCTAAGTGTGTTGTGATATTTTCATTTACTCCTAGGTGTACCGTTTCTCAAAAATGTTGAGAAACACTACATTAATATGTAGCCAGCACATCCGGGTTATTCCATCAGTCCCGTAGCCAGCACATCCGGGCTATTCCATCAGTCCAGTAGCCAGCCCATCCGGGCTATTCCATCAGTCCCGTAGCCAGCACATCCGGGCTATTCCATCAGTCCCGTAGCCAGCCCATCCGGGCTATTCCATCAGTCCCGTAGCCAGCCTATCCGGGCTATTCCATCAGTTCCGTAGCAAGCACATCCGGGCTATTCCATTAACCGTTTTCTTCTGTTATAAGCGTCGGAATGAGCCTGTTCCGTTTTTTCTTTATATCATGGAGGTAAGTGGATTTCTTCTGCACATTTTGAGCGGTCAGTTTGGTGTCACGACGATTGTTGATTGTAACGTTACAGTAATGTCCACACGCCATCCGAAATGAAACGTGCCTGCAACGTTGCAAGAGCGTTCCGTGTTAGCTATGTACTAAACGAAACATTTTTTTGTTTACAGGACAAGGCTGTAAGTATATGATAAAGAATAAGGATGGAACTGATGTACGAGATTAGCTTATAACCCTAACCACAGATACACAGGGTTCAATTTCACTACCGAAATTACATTTAATCTAACGCAATATGTAACGAGCTTTGTGTAATGAGTTCGATTCTCAATGGCCTTGAACAGGTTTAAACTTTCTGACAAAAAGAGAACCTCTCTTTTCATACAGAAAATGTTATTCTTTGTTGGCATTCTTTCTGAAAGTGTGGTTCCCAAAAATGTCAGCATTGAGGATTAACTTAAACATCAAAAGAAGAGGAGGAGGAATTCAGGACATTTCCTGATGTTTGTGGATGTCAGGTGTAACAAAGACATTTTATTTTAGGAGTTTTTCTCATGACAACGAGCTAAATGCAATGCTAAATGCGTCAACACGAAATAATTCATAACTGGACTTTGAGACAAGTGTCTTTATGCAAAGAAACCAACTTCCTTTAAATTGTTTGCTTTAGAACAATTCAGGTTATTTCTTAATATTTTACATGACGACATAAGATATATCTGGTTTTCAATTAAATTATTCTTATTCACATTTACATTCAGACTAACATCATCATCTTTATACCTATTATTACATTGTTTAGGCAGTTGTGCTTACCGGCCTTCTTCGGGTGTCTGTTGATCCGGGTAACTCTCAAGACATTTTGTGCTGAAAATTTTATTTAATATACAGGATTTCCCTAAAGTCTGGACACATAGGAAATTTCATTAACTATATTATTTTTACTTCCACAGATTAAACATGGTTTTGTTGAAAAAATAAAGAATTGAATTCTTTTTCTGGGTATGCTAAAGGAGACGGTATACTCAATGAAAATCACTCGATTGAACGCATAAAGAATGAATGTGCTAAAATTGGCGGCAATGTGGAGTTATTGCATCGAGTTCACGTGAATTTTGCAAAGCGCATAAACCTTTGCATGACAAATGATGGAAATCATATTTGTTAATATTCCAATTCAATAAAATGTCGTTGAAAATTTAATTTCTTGAAAATATGTATTTTTGTCTATGTGTCTAGACTTTAGGGACACTTTGTATATCCAAGTCGATTTGGCAGTCACATCTAGATACTTAAGAACACTTTCAATCGGAGACAGTCTGAAATGACTGGGTTCCCTGAAGGCATTTCTCCCAATATGATATTTGAGTAAATAATATTCTAATATTTTGGAGTAAGTACATCATATGACAACCGGTAGATTGTTTAATGGTTCAATGTTTAATGGTTCAATGGTTAATGGTTCAATGGTTAATGTTTTAATGGTTTGCGGCTCGGATTGAGGGATCGGAGAGCCGCATCCAAATTCCAGACATATTACATTCACTTAAGTGATAATAACACTTCTTCCCCAGCTATGGGTAAATAGTACGACAGACTGGGTTCTATAGCCTTGGATGGCAACCAATCTAGGAGAAGGAAAATTCTGAATGCAAAACTGTATGTAGCCCTGGCGAAATACATACTATGCAGCTAAGGAACGGATCGTTCACATTGACTAAGGAGCCGAGTGTAGTCAGGATACTCGAGTCACTGCGACCGCACATGCTTGTAGAGTGAGAATATCCTTGTATATTAAAAGATTAAGTAATTTCAGAAAAGCTGCTATGAGTGTTTAGCACTTGTAAAATCCTTGATTGAGGATTGAAAATGATTTGAAAAATGGAACTAATATTATGAAAACACCTGATGACACGTTATGATAATAACAACAAAGATGCGGTTATTAGACCGAATGTAAATAATTTTTTTTCTTTCTTCATTGCAGACATTCAGACAGAAAATAGTCCTGGCTTACAGCCACATCAGGTTGAAACACCGGTTCCCGTACGATTATTGAAGTTAAGCAACGTTGAACATGGTCAGTACCGAGGGGTGTGACCGCTTGGGAATATCAGTTGGTGTAAGCTTGGACGCGCGGGTGGTATAATGAATAATGGCTCGAAATTGTTAATTGGAGAACCGAGTTCCAATTCCCGTGCAAAATACCTTTTCACTCGTTAGCTATGGGTTAATCATCTAAAAAAAAAAAAATCTTACTATCTAAAAATGTTTTCTGGCTTTAAATAACTCGCTTGATAAACCGTCAAAAAACGAACCAATCAAGTTAAAGAAATTGGTCTCTTTATTTATGATTTTTCACTCAGCTGGGGGTGTGGTTTAAGTTTCACAGACGGGACACTAATCCAATATTCGTTGCAATCGATATCAAATGTGACAAAAGCAATCAGGAACTGAATCGGAATTTCCTTCGCTATCAACAAAGATTTATGTGTTCCTATTCACTTAGCCAAGTTTGTCGCCATTACTGTCACACCAGCGTTTTTAACGTCTCTTCTAATGAAACATGTCCGCCACAACAGTTGCAATAATGCTAAAGTAGCGTTTCAAGGTTTCATTGCCAAAGGGCGTTGTGAAATGTATCACAAATAACGTCATCATGCCTATCAGCAGTAATATCATCAAGTCATTTGTCATTCTTACATTTAGTTCTCTAAACTTTTATCGTCTTGCCGTAGAACAATAGCGAGTAGGATGGTCTCGCTGGTGTAATGAGATCCATTCTTAAAGAATGCTCCAGGTCAGTGACTTTGTAACAGAATAGCAAATATCAATGTTATCAAGTCTCTTGACAGAATAATATACTTGTTATTCTTATTTCTGGGCATCAATATCACCATGCAAGGCAGTAAAGCGACTAAGACACAATGAGTTATAGGCTGTGGAAAAATTAGGAACAAAAACAATAATGATCGGAAAGTGGAAAGAGTACTCAGGAAGATAGTAGATGGCGATTAACATGGCATTTAAATTTTTGCAGATTAAAGTTTGCTGGAAAGATTGGAGCCGGAAAGGAGTTCAACAAACTAGAAGTGTGAGAAAATAAACTGTTAACCTAGAATTTACGGCTGCATCTAGCCAGCTCAATTGTAAATTGATGAAATCTCGACGCCAGTCTAATACTGCGCTTAAATTCAAAAGATCTAGGTACCATAGCGAAGTGCTCATCTAAAAATCGTCGTGGAGTATTTAGTTTCGTAAGTTAGAAATCAAAACTGCTATAATGAGTTCGATCCTTACCAAGTATCTTACGCTTGTAGATTTGTATAGTACTAAGCTAGACTTAGTAAATCATTAAACCGCGTAGCGTGCTTAATGACTGATCTAATTGCGTATTTTCTACCGGTGTTCAAGTCTTGGTAAAAATCAGGATTTCAAATGTTGAATCAAAATAGACATGCTCTGCTCACTCGGCAGATTAACACAACAATCATTTTACTTCCGTTTCTTCCCATTTGCGTGTGTTGTTCTAAGCTTAGTAAATATTAATATCGCCCAGTCGTATAAACATAAGCCTGACATTCCAACCGAACTTATGTCTATGTTATAGTTTTTGTACCTCACTTGCTTTACGATGAGCGGGACAATTAGCTGGAGTAGTGAAGCCCATGCCCATGGATGTCTTTATTACTAAGGCTTTCTGTTGTATTTTAGTAAATATAGTGATATGCTTAAGAACAGAAGATTTTCTGAGATATTAAGCAAATTACTAGGCTTGATAAAGATGCTTTATTTCAAAGTCAAGTATCCCATTCACAGAATTCTAACACATGAAGGAGGCTATAGACGCAGCTCCAGGCATTAGTATTATGATTCTATTTCAAGGAAAGTTCGGTCACTGAGGGTGTCAGAAAACATTTCTCTCTCAGAGTCCATCTTGCTCATTTATAAATCTACCATTCGCTCGTGTTTTGAATACTGCTGCCATATCTGGTCCTGCTATTCCTCTCGAAGGTCTTGATATAATCCATAGAAGGATCTATAATGTAATCGTCCCTGACTTGGTATCTCGACTTCAGTCACTTTCTCACCGACATGATGTGGTTTCCCGTTGTCTTTTCTACAAATATTTTCAAGGCAACTGCTCTGATGAACTTTTTTCCCTACATGAATTTAAGCGTGCTACTATATTGGCATCTATGTCCCACCCATTTACTGTCATTAATAGCTAAATATAACCTCCACTTCTACTCCAAGTTCCTTTTCTAGCACTTCCTGCCTGTGGAACTCCAGTTTACTTGCTTCTTGAAAACTACAATCTTCAAAAATTTAAATGCAACGTGAACCGCTATCTTCTATCTTTTTGAATCACGTTTATATTTTGTCCTTTCCTCAATCCTCCCTGTACTCGGTCTTTTCTCTCACTTTCACTCCCTGTAACCCTCTGCGTATTAGTGACATTCCCGCCTAGGCTACCTCGGCATGGTGTAATGGTTAGCAGGCTTGTCTCGCAAAAGCAGTTACGACTGAATAGTGAGTTCGATCTTCATTGGGTGCCCCATACTTTCAGCCTTGTGCCACATCTAAGCTGCGCTTAGAAAATCATTTTAGTGTGTAAATCGCTCTTTGGAGTGATTTGTAACACATCTATTTATCATCTCTCAGTTGCGTCTCTGTCTTTGGGCAGAGTGCGTTCAGGGGCGGCTCCATCAGAGTCGCAACTGAGGAAAATTATACTGAGAGGTGCGCAGGCCTGGGGAACTGCTGCCCGAGGCCGCGCCCTCTCATTACACCAGAGATAGAGGGCTCGGTGCGAGGTCTGCGGGCAATTTTTGTTCCTGGCCCGGGTGTACGCGCTCGGGTCCCCACTTTAAAAAATATTTTGTGTCACAACTTGTCTTAGTGGGGGGAGGGGAGGAGACAGAAAACGTACCTAGTGGCATTTTCGCCTTGCTTGGTGTGAAATGATTAAAAATAAAAAACAACAACATGAGTTTGCACTTTCTTTCTGTCAAGAGAAGCATTCCTCAAATCAAGCTTTTGAGATCTGAATTCATGAACACCCCCCCTCCCAGATCGTGTCTCTCCGATAAGTAATGAGTACACACTGAAAATATAGACTTTTACAAGATGTAGTTGAGACAAATCGTTATGATAATTTCTTATTTTGGTTTCTTTTCAGACTTATTATTCTTAAGCAATCAGTGTCAAGGTATTCGAGAACGTAACTCCTTTATAAGTTGGCTTTCTTGGGTTCGAAATCGGATTGTCGGATAAAGAAAAAATAGACGAATAGAGAGGTATGCACAAGAAAGAGAGAAAGAAAGAACCTCATCGAAAACATGTTGATCTTTTGTTAAGATGTGATAGTCATACGTTACGAAGTTGCCACATTGTTTCGATCATTGTCATGTGTGAAATCATTGCTAACTCCTGTCACTTGATCTCTGCAATGTCAAATGGATTATCTTTTGTTCAATGCTTACTGTGCCGATGACCGCTTTGAACTTCGTCCTTAGGATAATACGCCGCGTACCTTTGAAGTTGATATTTTCAATTGAACAGAAGTATTCATCCAAAGAATGTTGAGGAAATATTTATCTGCGAATTATCAATAATATTTTACAGAAACCTTAAAACAGATGAGAATATCAGATAATGAAAATTTCGGTTCAGTATGTAAAATGAAAACACAGGAAACATTGTTTAATGAATGTCATTTCGTCGCTAATTTTATAAATACTAGGAACGAACCCAGGAGATAATGTTCAACCGAAGATCTCACGAATTACAGGGTGTTAGTATTCATTATACAAGATTAGGATAACAAACACAAGCGAAGAGTTCTTATAGCTTATATTTTAGAACAAAGACTTAGAATGTTCTGAATAAGAGAGAATGCATGGTTGTCAGCAAAAGGAATAGCCCAACAAGCAAATTTCATACTGGAGATACCAAAATCAAACACATACAACAATTTAAATATCTGGAAAGTGTTTTAACAGAGGACAGAATGTTTAACACAAAAATCCGAAGGCGTATTGGGATAGCACAAGATGACTTCCAAAAGTTAACCAAAATATTAAGAAACAGGAAAATTTTGTTAGAAACAAAGAAAAGAGTAATGAACTATTAAGCGATATCAGTCCTCCTATAAGAGATATGAAACAACAGTAATGTGGTTCTACAGAAGAATACTATGGACATAGAGCATGGGTTCAATGAGGAAGTTTTAGAGAAAATGGAAACAAAAAGGACACTTCTACTTCGTTAGAAAGGTATTATATAAAGAATTTAAAAGCATGGGCTTAAAAATTACGGTTAGCACTAAATTAAAAAAAGTGAACTTCCTAGATATAACATTAGATCTAAATAAAAATACATACACACCTTATAAAAAACCCAACACCAATCCTTTATATAGACACCCTAAATCAAATCATCCCCCATCTATAATTAAACATATACCGTTATCTATCAGTAAAAGAATTAGTACAAATTCAAAAAGAGACAGTTGAAATTTCCAGGGCTTGGAAATTCTGATACTCACAGGGCAGATTGAGGGCAAGAGGGACAGAGAAGAAAAAGGCATAACCTACCTGTCGAGTTTATGCAAATGGATGGCAGAACAAGGTTTAGGAGAGATAACGAAAAAGACAAAATTTATTAAGAGCCATAAAAAACGGGAAATTGTGGAGAGCAATGATTGGTCACGACACAGGAAATATTCATTACATCGCGCATGCAGGCACACACGCACACACGCACACACACACACACACACATATATGTGCGTGTTAGTAGGATATAGAATCTGAAAAAAATTGGAGAAATCAGACGAAGTGTAAATCCTTTTAATTGACAACGCGTTTCACCTTCGTTAGGTATCTGAGTATATATTTGTTTATATTAAAACATAGCTGTTTGCTAAGTTGGCGTCTTCCGCAAAAGTACATATTAACAGCTTTTATACAAAAAACAAGCAAAACTAAAAGAAAACAAAACAACAACAACAAAACACAAAAAACACACAGATTTGTTCGACCGGAAGACGGGTTTTATTATAACCCCCCAAAAAAAAAACACAGAATTTTGTTTTTAAATCTAACCTGAAAACGCGTACTACC